GAAGCACCTCATAATCTTTGGGTATAGTTCTGTATAAGTTTCTTATTCATGTTAGACTACAATCTCTTGGCATTTGTCCCTCCAATCAATCCTGTTGAGTGCTTTGCCAGCCCAGCATGTGCTTGCAGCTCCACAGACACTCAGTGTAGTCTGGCATTTTTTGTGTGCCTCTAAGTGCACTTTTTGTGTGCAGCTCAGTGTGACAAACACTCCTCATCTTGTGGTTTGTAACATGACTGTGGGTCCTGCTAACCATCGGTGTGCCTGAGTGACCGACTGTGAGGCAGCATTCTGTGCAGATTGTTGGGGCAGCTCCTTACACAGGGCAATTCACGCTTATTTTAGTTCAACCTGTTTGTACAGAACTGTGGGTTGGACCTTTAAAAGGACAAAAAAGTGTTCTTGCAAACCATGCACAAGTTACCAGCTGATGATCATGAGATCAAACTAACCCAAGATAAAAAGAAAATGTAGTTAAACCAGTCATTCATGTCTTGAAACAAAGCTGTAATTCAGTTTTTGCCCATTCTTCTGGGAGTAATGTAACATTTTAGCCATGATGAAATAAGGGCAGTTCAGCTGAGAAGTGCATGGCTGGAAACATCTTCCTTCATCTTTATTCCCTGTTGATTTGGGAAAGAAAAAAAGAGAACTAAGGGGACCAATTGCGGGTGCATGTCCTCCAGTGTGCGTGTATGTGTGTATTCCTTACGTGTCCGATGGAGGGGAGGGCATTAAAGGACTTTATCTGTAACTGCAAGTGTTGTATCAGCCACTGAATCTCTGTTTCCTAACTGGTAAAAGCAGTTATAGTTCAAGTCTGGACTACAGGACTTGTCAGACTATAGCAGAGATGACAATTTAATCTCTTAATCCTTCTTGCTCTTTAGACTTTCTCAGAAGGAACCCAAGACGAAGTCCATCCTCATAGTGGTGACTTTCTCCTGTTGTGGTGGACTAAATGCTTCTGCTTAGAGCTGCCTCCAGGTAGGCTCCTCTGTCATCCTCCACATACCCTTGAGAATGCTCCATTCTTCTCCTCGTGCCACCTCATTTGTTTTTATAAATGCACTTCCCCACTCCCAGAAGCAGTGGCAGTTAAAGTGGAACTGGTGAGAGGCTCAGTTGGGAGCCCAGGTCTGGCCCATTCGTGGAGGATCCGTGACTGTACAATAGCAGTTGGAGCAGAAAGCAGCCACTAACTCTTCTCCCCCCCTTTTTTTTATTCTCTTGGTACAGTGCACTTGGTGTATGTGCTTGATAATTTGATTGCTTGTTGGACTTTTCTTTGCCCTACCTTCTTGTGCAAAATAATCCTCTGACACACGCACACAGTGAATGTTTATTGTGGCTGCTTTTACTGACACTTCAATAACTCTTTCAGCAAGAAACACTGCAAAGACCTTTGGGTTTGTCCTTGGTCACAAGACAGGATAGCTGAGCTTTGGAGACGACATTTCTTGGCATCTGTTGAAAAGAGAGTGTTGAAGGATTTATAAATTTGTACTCAAGTGTTGAGTATTAGTATGTGAACTTGTTAGAAATGAGGGTGAAACCCTGTCAGAAACACCTGTATAAAGGCAGGTGGTTCTTTATGTGTCACATTAAGCTAGTTAGGATCACTGGAAAATTTAGCCCAAGTTTAGGTACCTTTCAACTTTGTTTTGCTGAAAGATCATTTTACGGGCAGATCTACTTGGCAAAGCAAGCTGAACTTTTTTTAGATCATTCTCAGTTAAAATAGTCTTTTACATTACCTCACTTAGGGAAAGGTTTAATTCTTGAAGTTTCTCCACCGTTTGCTCTGTCAGGAATTCCACCCACAGCATTAGAAAGTACATTGGAAATGACAGTGCTTGGTAAAGGCTGTCACTGTGCTGTTCTCTCTTTTCAAGAGTCTCACTTGTACAGATGTAGGGAAATTACTTGTTTGGGCTTTCAGCTTGATTAACAGTTGTTGTAGAACATCCAGAACACATTGAATCTTTAACATTTTGATCTGTATATAATCTGTGGGTTTTACTGCTCATATGAATGATTGTTGTTTTCCAAGATAAGTGAGGCAACATTAGCATATCTTAGAAAAATCAGATATACATTATGGGATGGAAATGGCCCTGGAGCAGTTAGTCCTGCACCTGTCATTCCACCCTGGCCCATTACTAGATGTTTCCAAAGGAAATGGAAAATGCTTGCAAAGAATACCTTCTGGGGGGAAAACATTTCTCCAAATGACATATTAGATAATTTGCATCCTTCAGCATAAGGTTACATTCATACATTTTCTCTCTCTTCTTTAACTTTAGCTGTTAATATTACTTATCTAAATGCTTATCCTTTAGGCAATCTTACTAAACATCTTAATTCTCTAACATCTTGTTGAGTGAGCTCTGTATCTTAGCTTTGTATATTTAGAAGTCCTCCAACCGTTTTCAGTTTTGTTTCTTGTAATTTCACTTGCTGTATGGCTTCAGAAATCAGCAGTCCAGGTTTAAATAATCCTTTAAACTATCACAACAATTGCCTATTAGAGTTTTCATCTTGTCCTCATTCTTACTTGTCTGGAGAAGTTGTCTTAGTTCAGTCACTGGGTCATAATGAAACACGTTCTGCATCAGCATGTCTCAGAGCTGCATTTAGATCCAATAAGGATCTGGGAGAAGCACTTGGGGTTCTAATCATTGTTTGTTCTTGGGCTGCAGAAATCTTTTATGTCCAATAATGTGAATGGTTAGTTGCAGTTTCAGTTGACTGAGAATTGGTAATCCATGGTGTACAGAACACATTTCCTAGGGCATGGGCTTTTGCTAAACTGAAGTCCCGATTTCAGCAGGAAGTAGAATTTGTACGTGGATTAGTTCTTTTATACTTTTCCTGTGTTGATTTTTATAATATCTGTGGGAATCTCTGGGCATTTTTCCACCCCCATGTTGAAGCTCCATTTTGAGGGAACCTGTGCTAGTATGTATAAACTGAAGAGCTCAGGAAGGGAGGTGCCTTTGAGAACCAGGGTGACTAACACGGTGTTGACTTTGAACCTTTTGGCAAGGTTCCCACTGAAGTGATTGTATGGTTTGCATTGTCCTTCAGCAGCAGGAAATCCTATCTGCCTTTGCTGAGGCTCAACTAAATTACACAAAAGGATGTTTTAGTGCTTTTTAGTGTAAATGATGTTATACAGCTAAGCAGAGCTGGATTCTAACCTTAACCTGGATAATGTGCTGAGCACAGCATTTTGTCAGTGCTGGCAAAGAGCAGGAAACTTGAGATGGCCAAGCTTTGTTTTATGTCAGTGAATTTCTCAGCATTTTATAGGTTAAAGATTGACATTATATACAGGGTTTTGTCTTGTGAAAATCACTCATTTAACAAAGCCCCCCAACTATATAAAGTCATTTAGGCTTTTTTGACCTACAAAAACATTAATCAGACCATAATGCACTGCTCTTGATGATCTTGTTCCTGCAGTAATTAATCAAAATTTGACCACTGTTAAATCAATATAACTTTATATGGTACAAATAAAGGCCAGTTCTGAATGCTGACCACCTTTGGCTGAGCTCCTTAGCTCATAAATGTTATGGTGAAGACCACTGGTTTAAAGGGGAGGTCAAGGGGGAGGTGTTTCAAAATACTAAAATATTAAAAACTGAAGCAAATGTTTGTAATAGACAGCCCTGCAGAAAGCTGAACTACTATATATGCTTTGTATGTCTGAGGATCCTGAAATTGAAAAAGCAAGAGAGAGATTAGAAGGTGATTTAGAGAAAGGTTCATACAAACATTTAGGTTACTGCTGCCCGCTAAGGTGTAAAATGTTAATTTTGAGGTTTGTTTGAATACAAGTAGGTATTAGGTATAGAAAGGTACTTACAAAAGTATGTACCTTTCTGTTTCTATAAATAGTTCTCTCATGCTGCCTAGGGTAGATATGATTCTTTTTCTACCATGACTGTTGGTTTGCTTCTGTGAAAGCAGTTTGCTTCTGGAAGCAGTTTAGGTCAGGAGGTAGAAGTGGGATAGGTAGGAAGGTTCCCCCCACATCCTCTGAACACAGCCTGAGGGGTTTCTGCCTGACTCCACACTGGTGCTGACCTTCAGATGTGTGCAATGCTCACACCAAGGTGGGGCTTACAATACCCTCAGTCTTCAGGATGAAATGCCTTCATTTTTCAAATGTGTTGTCTGATGTTCTGAGTCTCTCTCCCTTTTTTTGTCCATCCAGGAGGCTGAACAGAATTGACCGGGACAGTATCTTGCAAATTATTACCCATTTTTGTTATAGATCCAAGATCACTGGTAATCAGTGGCTCTTACCACTTGCTGTGAAACTTTGATGCTCCTGATTTCTTGAGTTTAGAGCTCTGTCATGGAAAGTCACCACAGCTGGCTGGCAGTATTGTCCAGCAGCATTAACAGATGCTGATCAGAGAACTTGCTCTGTCATTTGCCATGTTGGGAGAGTAGAGCCCAGAGTCCCTGCTGGGGAAGCTAAAGGAGAGGAAGATGTTGCTTAGGAAATTGCAAAAGCAGGAAAATAAATCTAGATTCCAGGAACACTGTCTATAAACAGTAGGTGTGATGTTGGTTACGTGGTTATGTTTATCCACTGCAATATGGCACCTCCCTTTTTGGTCATGTAATGACATTTTTGTCCTTTATTCTCTGTAGTCCAGAGAATGTTCGGATGAGTTCTGTAGGTCATTTAGATAATAAAATATATTGTTGAGAAAATTCTCAGACTGTTTTGTTTTTCTTTGTGAGCATTATTTTTGTGAGCAGAAAATGTGAGTTCAGGTGCTTGGCTAAAGAAGTCTGTGCTTATTTAGAATTCATAAATAAATAAGAAAGCTGTGTGCTTCTTTGTGCTGCATTAGGGGTTGTCCTTACTGTATTGCTGTTTTTCCATACAAACTCATTACACAGCTCTGATGTCGTTGTTTTACATAAGCTTTTTCACAGGTATTTTCATGTTTCCTTTTTCTTTTCCCTTTCATCAGACATTTGCTGACCAGGCATTTGGTAGCTTCAGCTGGACAATTCCCATTGCTGTAGCCTTTTCTTGTTTTGGTGGACTTAATGCTTCAATTCTAGCATCATCAAGGTAGTGCATATCTCTTTCAGTTTGACAAATGATCATCAATATTTTTACATGTTACTGTTATGCTCATCTATTCTGACAGTGGCAAAAATACTGTTGTTACTGAACCTGTAATAAATAGCTACAATAAAGTAAACCTCTGTGGATGTTAACACTACTTCCCCAAAGCATTCCTGAGAGCACACAGAGCACAATTAAAGATCATATTAATGTTATCTGTGTGGTGAGTCCTCAGGCCTTCTGATTACTTGGATTACCTTCCATTTTACTTGGTACAGTAATTCTAGCAAGTTCTTACTTTCAAATGTATTTGCTTAAAACTTACTGACCTTTTAAAATCAGTATTTTAAAAGTTTTTTACTGGGAAAAAACCTTTAAAAGTTGCTACTGCTATGAAGCTGCAGTCAGAAAGCTTAGTATACAGTACAGAAGCTTTTCTTTGAGCACTGATTGTGGATGTGACTAGCCAAAATTTTAAATAGATTTATTGAGGCAAATGGGAACATCATCTGGTGAAGGAGTCAATATAGAACAGTTGATATTAAAATTATGTGTGGGTTTTTGAGCATGTGTTTGAGTGACACCATTTTAGTGACCTAAAGCTCTTCTGGTGGCCAGTGAAAACTATTCCTCTATTTTGTGAAACAACAGAAATTTGTTTCTGTTACTGTAGATGTGTCTATTTTACCTGTAGCATGATTTTTTAAAAACAGATGTTAACAGCATGTTTCCAAAAGCTTATACATCTTTTAATGGTTGTTGTACAGTACATCTCTAAAAGAAGAGTTGAAGTTTAAGGGTCCCAGTTTAAAGGATGGAAATTGAGTGGTGTAAATATTATACTGGTGTTATTTTTTTATTTTCTTTAATACATTCCCTCTCCCCTGTGGCCTCACCATGTGTTTTCTCACTATTTTTTCAGGCTGTTTTTTGTAGGATCTCGAGAAGGTCACCTTCCTGATCTGCTGTCTATGATCCACATAGGGAGGTTCACACCTGTGCCAGCACTGCTCTTCAATGTAAGTTCTTATTGCTTTCCTTTTCAGCTTCTCAGATGTGAATTATTTAAAAGAAGACTTTGAACAATTCACAAGAGAGAACTTCAAATTTGCTGTCATCAAGGTGATTGGTGAAAGAGTGATTTTGTGAGGCATAAGCATGCCAAACCCCAAGGAGTGTAAGGTGTTACTTTAAGCAAAAAGCAGCATAAACAGTAAGTTTCAATGTTTTCTTGTTGTTCTCACACTTGTTCTTTCCTGACAGTGTATTATGACCCTTTTTTACCTGGCTGTGGAAGATGTCTTCAAGCTTATTAATTACTTCAGTTTCAGTTACTGGTTTTTTGTTGGTCTGTCTATTGCTGGACAATTATATCTGCGCTGGAAAGAACCAGATCGACCCAGGCCTCTTAAGGTAACACTTAGGACACAATTGTTTGAAATCCCTGTCTTCCACGTAATAAGATATATAAAAACACAAAAGTGCTGTCTAAAATCTGGACCATACATCTTGTGTCTGAAGGTTACAAATTGATCAGGACATAAAACATGGTTTCCATTTTATATTGTACCATGAAAGTTAGCTTGTCTGCCAGGGAAGAGTCAGGGATTGTTGGAATAGTATATTATTGTGTGCTAGTTCAATCAGTATCCCTTCTCTCTGTCAACACGAGAATGTCTCTATAGGCTTACACAGGAGTCAGCTTTTTATCTTGCATTAGAAATCTCTGATGGAATGCTTAAATAACTCTGTCAACATGGCCCACATTTAGCTCTGATGATATCCAATCCTCTAATGACCTTTTCACACTTTGAGTTAATACTCCTCACAAAGAAGTCATTCTGGTTTCCCAAGTTCTACTGGACTTTTCTAGAAACACTTCCTGCCACTATACAGTTGCTTTCAGCACAGCAGAGTTACCATACTTGTTAATTTCTGCAATTTTTAGCAGCAGTTCTGTTAAAAATAATTCCACAATTTGCTTATGGTTCTAAATAGCCAGATATATAAGAGGAAGAGCAGATGATTTCACAAAGTGGGGTTGAGAGGGAAAAGTCTGTATCTCAGTGTTTGTAGGCAATGAATATTACAATAACATTCTGTTCTGTTTTTCTGTCTCCAGCTGAGCCTGGCTTTCCCAATAATATTCTGTATATGCACAATATTTCTGGTAGTAATACCACTCTATAGCGACTTCATAAATTCAGTGATTGGAATTGGCATTGCTTTATCTGGAATTCCATTCTTTCTCTTGGGAGTCTATTTACCTGCATCGAGGAGACCTCAATTTATTAACAAGATTTTAGGTAAGTTTCTTTCTAGCTGGAGATGTTGTTAGGAAAGAGGAAAACTAAATGGGTGAATCTGGGTCTGTTGATGGAAGGGGTTGTGGGGGGCTGACCCCAGCCCCCAGCAGAGTACCCACAGAGCAGGGTGCTTAAGAAGAAAAACACTGTAGGATGTCAACAGAACACTTTTAAACAGTATCTGTTTAAAAAAAGAAAACCGAGTGGAAGACAGTTATTGTATTAACTCTCAGTGTTTGTTTCCCTGAAGGGAGGTGAGGCAGTTCCTGACAGCTGTCATTAGTCAGATCTGTTGTGTAATTAGAGTTGAGATTCGTGACTGTTGTTCTCATGTCTCCAATTTCTTGTGCAGGTGCAGTCACACGAAAGGTGCAGCTGCTCTGTTACTGTGTTTTAACAGAGATGGACACAAATGAGGAAAAGAAGTTAGAAAGGAAATCCAACTAAAATTTAAAGCCATTACAAGAAGCAGGAGGGAGGACACAGCGGTTAAAACAACTATAAAGGGAAGAGGTAGAACTGGAAAAAATGGGAAAACTGTTTCCAGTGGTCTTTTAGAAATCCTGAAAACGTCCTTACAGTTGGGTTCCCACAGAGATCACGCCCTCACGTCATCCTCCTGAACTGGGCCGTGTTTGCAGGGCGTGTTTTCCTGGGATGAGGAGTATCTGCCCATGTCAGGCACAGCAGCTGTGCCAGTGGTTCCCTCAGAACTGTGTTAGCATGGGAAGAGCTCCCAGATCAAATCCAACTGCTGCACAGCCAGGCAGTGAAGTAAATGCATTTTTAAGTTAGACTGAAAACCACTTTGACTCAAAAGACCAAGTCATTTCCACCTTAATTCTGATGGATTTTCGCATGAAATATTTTGCTGTGCTATCTCAGTTCTTACCCCAGAAGACAACTGGTTACACCTACCTACCTAATTCGTCATTGAGAAGAAAAATGAATAAAGTTGTGCTCCATTATTTAAAGACTGAACCAACTTTTCTCCCTTAGAGATAAGTATTTTATGCCATATACTACGTGGAATGTGGTATCTGACCGTGGCAAAGATTTAATCAACAAGGCACCTTGGCACTAAAAGTTTGACTAATGTTTGATGATTCTTTCTTGTAAGCTTGTTTTTGGTGAACTTCTGCTAGGTTTTATGAAATTTTCACAATAAAAAATATGTTCAGTTTGAAGCAGGTAAGCATTTGTTTCTGAGCTGTTGCAGTGAACACACAGTAGCCTTGTGACCTCAGCAGTCAGAAAATTCCCTTTATTACTATCAGTACTGCTCACCAGAAAAAGACCACCTCACAGAAGAAACCACTTTCTCTTTTTTTCCTCTCTAGCAGAAGTTCTGTGGCAAAAACTAGATCCTGAAAGCTAAGCAGCAGGGAGAGAAAGTAGAAATAAAAATGGAATTAAAAGTACTACTGCAGCACAGACCTGCTAATGAGTAATATTTGTAATTCCATAGCTGTAAGCCTGACCTCAGGACACCTGTAATACTGAATTTCAGTGCAGCAAAAGGCAAGAAGCAGCAGCCTCTTTGGCTACAAGAGTGAGATGTACTTCAGAAACATACCTGGAATCTTTACCTTAGTTCAGAGTGTCTCCCTCAGTTGATCTGAGTTTGGCCACAGGTACTGTTTTGTGCACTTGAGCTGAACTAAATCCCGTAATCAGATTATGGCTGAAGCAATGCACACTTCCAGTGGTGCACCACATTTGCATCAACCACTTGAATAACAGTGAGAATATTTGGATTTTTGCACTGACCCCATGTCCAAGGTTATCTTAGAAAGTGCAGAGAAGGGCAGATGGTGGTGGGGTGAAGACTAACATCAAAGGGAGCCCTGGGATACGTTTATGGAGCAGCATTGGGATTTAAGGGAGTTAAATTCTAGTTGAGGAAGTTATGTGCCAACTGTGCATAAAACATATCTGGTCTTTTCACTACTAAATAAAAACTATAATTTAGCCATTTTAATCCAGCTTTTCAATCTTGCATATGGTTGGAATAGATTCAGTACCCAACTGAGCCATCTGTCCAGTGAGCAAGCAGAGCTTCAACAGGCACGGGTCGTGGCAAAGGTAACAAAGGTTATCTGGGGCCAGATAACCTTGCTCTGAAACCAACAATGAAAAAATTTTGCCTCCACTACTTTGACTTTACCAGTCAGAACTAACTGGCCTAAAGCCAGTGCTGCAGCCTAAAGCTCTTGCATGACATTGATCTCACAACCTATCAGCCATTCTTTACAGACTCCAGGAGGATAGTGCTGAAACACTTGGTGTGTTCAAACACGGAGGACTAAATGGTTTTAAAGGTGTATAAATGCAAGTTAAGATGGTGTGGCTTCTGCTGTACCAACTTCTTATGATCTTTAAGTTAGTACAGAAAACTTAGTCAAAACATTTTTATTTACAATTTAAGCATGCACTGTTCTACTCCAACAGTAAAACTACTGGGAGAGCAATGGACAGGTCAGGGCATTTCATATGCTCCAACACTTGTAAAGAAAGTCACTTACACTTAGAAACAAATACAGTAGAGAGCACTAGGACAGTGCCTTTCTCAAGGACTTCACTTGCCATCAGGGCAGACACACTGATCTTCTTGTGAAACCTGGCACATCAGCCATGACCAGAAGGGCTGCTGCCAACAGCACTTCCATGTATGACGTGGAGGTATGGGCACTACAGGAACAAATGCTTGGGCAGGGAGCTTTGGGGAAAAAAAAAGTTCCTTCAGAACCTCTGTACAACACTTGTGCTTCAAACAAAAATCTGTGTTGTCAAGTGGCCACACTGACACCCATCTGTTTGAGATCTGCCAGCTGCAGCTGGCTGTTCCCATGGTGCATTCTCCTACCACAGCAGAGTTTCACCTTCAGCACACGTTTCATCTTCAAAAAAGAACTTTTAGTCAGAACCCAAATCTTCCATCTCGTCGTATCCGAACTCCTGTAGAACCTCCTGTCGGTATTTGTCCCACGTTCTTCTCCTGTAATATTGCTCCTCATCACTGGAGCTCTCTTCAGGCTCTACAAAAAGAGCATCAACACTTATAGATTATCCCTTCTTTTTAGTTAAATAAGTTAATCCGACTATTTTAAGGTACTTTTGGAACTAACAAAGTCTGAACAACTTCTGTATTAGGTGAGGTTTGAACTGTGCTTGGAGTACTCTGGGATGGGGACTTGAGAAGGCAGAGGCAGCATTTCACAACCATGTGGACCCAAGTCATCAACTCCTTCTCAAAGCAAGCAATCCTTTGCAATTGCAGCAGTCTGAAAATGACTTAATTTTGACTTTGCAAAAACACTCTTCTAGTTCCCAGAAAGATAATGTTCCTCTAAGCAGATTTTACCCATTTTAAGGGCAGAACACTACCCCAGCAGTGCTCAGTTAAGTTGCTTTTTTAGCATGAAAAAGAAGAGGATTTATGTGCACAGCATGAAAGCAAACAGCATTTATTATAGGTGTACCTTTTTCTCCATCTTCCTCGGGTAAGAATTCATCTTCTTCGGGATAATCATTCCGCCAGTTATTTTCATCATTTTCATCATCTTCATCTTCATACACTTCCTCTGGAACAGGATCATCATTTACCTGCATGTCAACACAAAACATAATGCTGGGAGTCTGTAGTGAATGTTAAGTGGGTTTTCATCCACCTGTGCAATACTATACAGATCAGAAAGAGCCAAGAGACACTCACTGATGGCACAAGGAATTCTGCAGTTACACAAAGGACACTGCAGAAAAATCGGACCTGTCACTGTGTTCACCATAACACTTCAAATCTGCTTTAGGTGAGAAATGAGTTCAGTTACATATTTACATGTTCCACTTCAGCATTTCAATGTTAATGTCTAACTTAATCCCACTCACTTCAGCAGTAGTGTTATAGATCAAGGAAAAGAAAAAGTAGCTTCAGGTTTCCAATATGTAAGTCTATTGATCACAGTATCTATAGAACAAAAGACTGAAGCTTACATTAAACTTCCTAACTCCACAGTCACTGAAGGACAATTCTACTAGGAAAAAGTATCTCATATGAAGGTTAAAGTCCAGTCTTCAAATACTGAAAAAGTTGTGTGTCTCCTTGCTCCTCTTTCCACTCAGACGTATTAACAATATTTCAATATTTTTACTTTGTTAATATTTAATACTTTAATTACTGCCTCCTAATCACAAGTGAGACGTGAATTACTCAAGTTTACATTTGTGTGCCAAAATGTAATTGGCAGTTTGAAACCAGATGGATTTTTCTGAGTACATGAGCACCATCCCTTCAGTTTTCATTGTCATATCATCATTTAATGAATGAACAGTAACCTGCAGGAACACAGCACACCAGAGGCCTAAGGCAGAAGTCGCTGAGCACATGTGTAGTGTCTATCTCAAAGGACCTTTCTTGGCATGTTTATTTGTGACCTTTCAATTTAAGAAAGATCCTTTTTTCCACACCCTTACCCATTCATATTCTTCTCTGTAGGGCTGTACAGAAAGGATATTTTCGATCCAACCAGGGGCTGATGTTTCCTTATAGTAGATGTCATAAACATACTCATCTTCCTTCTCACAGTGCTTTTTAGCATCTTCAGAAACATTTAAACGCTCACGGATCATCTCTACTGCATTGCAAAGAATCACATCTGGATCGATCTTCTGCTAAGAAAAAATAAAAAAATGCTTATTTCCACTCAAGTCATGCAGACAAAATCTTGGTTACAGCCACCAGTTTTCTTTGCAGCTAACTAAGGATGACATCCTGCAATCTGAGACCAAAACACTTTCCCACAGCAGGATCACAGTATTCAAGAACACTGAGCTGATTTGCTGACCTGGGGGTTGGCAGAGGTTACGCTGCAGTCTCCCACCATCTCCTCCTCTTGGACAATATCAAACAACTGGAATTTCCCACAGCAGTCCGAACTCTTATCAGCAGCACCGCTCTCCCCTTGTGAAGCATCTTCCTGTGCTCCAGAGCCTGCCCCGTGCCCATCAGTGTCAGCCCCAGCCCCTGTGGCAGGCACGGCTGTCTCAGCACAGGCGGGTCGGTGGCTGGCTATGACACGGTACCGGTTCTCCTTCCTCTTCTCCTGCCTGGAGGAGCGGAGCTCCTGGAGGATCCGCTGAGTGCTTCCCACAGGGGGCTGGAGCTCCTGGAGGATCCGCTGAGTGCTTCCCACAGGGGGCCGCAGGCTCTGAGCTGCTCTGTCCCGTGTGATGGCATCCTTAACGTACTTCTGAACTGGTTCATTCTGAGTAGAGGAACAAAAAGGAGGAGGAATATAATGACAGCATCAGCATAGTAAGTCCTACCCCTTCCTAGAAGGGATTAATGACTACTAGTAGTAGTGCAATAAGAACTGCAGCTCTAATATTCCTAACATCAAATTAACTTCTGCTATTGCTTTAAGCAACGCAACAATCAATATTCTCTTGATATCAGGAGAAAAAAGCAGAAGATATAGAAGGAAAGTTCTAAGACTGTTTCAATTTGATTTTTAAACTACTTTGTTGTATGGAATAACCGTCCAAACAAATGCCTTTGGAAGACCGCGATGGACCTGAATTTAAGGCAAAATATCCTTTACAATGTCCTATAAAGATCATTTCCCACGACATCCCAGTTTGATTCAATATAAAAGGCCGGATAGCGGATGGTAGTTGTTATCCTTGGAGGGCTGAGCTTCAGCACCTCAAACAGCAGACACTCGGGCTTCACTTGCTGACTGTTCTGTGGTCTCTGAGTGAGGAACAGCCTGTAAGTGCGAGAAGCGAGCGCTGAACAGGCTGTGCAGTGCCCGTCACTCTGTCCTGCCCCGCGCAGGGGCTGCCCCTCGGGCCCGGCACAGCACCCGCCGCTGCTCTCCGGGGCCGCACCCACAGGGACCCGAGAGACCCGCGGGAGCAGCACCAGGGCCAGCGAGAGCCTCCGGGAGCCCGGCTGGGCCGAGCCGGCCCCGCGGCCGCGCTACCTTGGAGGACACGGTCGCCACCAGCTTGAAGAGGCTCCGCTCCGGCAGCTCCTCGCGCCGCCGCTTGCAGGCGAGGAGCAGCGCCTCGGCCGGCTCGGAGCCGCCGCGCTTCCGCCGCACCCGCAGCACGGCCGCGGAGGACATGGCCCGGCACGGAGGGGAGGGAAGGGAAGGGGCGGGATCCCGGCGGGAAGGGGCGGGAGCCGGGCGGGGCCGGGGCGGCCGCGGTTCGCGCGGGGCGGTGGCAGCAGCGGCAGCGGTGGGTACCGGCCGGGCGCCGTGAGGGGGCTCGGCCCGGGGCTGCCGTGAGGGGGCTCGGCCCGGGGCTGCCGTGAGGGGGCTCTGTGCTGGGCTGCCGGGAGGGGGCGCGGCCGGGGCTGTGCCGTGAGGGGGCTCGCCCGGGGCTGCCGTGAGGGGGCTCGGCCCGGGGCTGCCGTGAGGGGGCTCGGCCCGGGGCTGCCGTGAGGGGGCTCGGCCCGGGGCTGCCGGCGGGAACAGCGGAGAGCGCCCTGTCCGCCCCCGCCGCAGCCCCGCGGGGCGGGAGGTCCGGGCCTGCCCCGGCCCCGGGCGCTGTGCGGGCTCTCGGCCCGGGCTCCGCTGGGCCCTCCCCCGGCACGGGCTGTGCCGGCACCCCGGGACAGGGCGGGAAGAGTTTTCCCTGAGGATTTACCGTGAGGGGATTTCTTTTTTGCGCTGAGGTTCCTGAGCGGGACTGGGTGACATGTTTTAGTTTAAAACATCGTTGTAGAGAAAGCGTAAAGCGGTCACTTGGCTTCTGGGCAAGGCAGGTGTAACAGGTACCCAGAGCTCAAGTGATGGCTGAAGTAACAGTTGTTTTCACTGGGAGTTTTGTTTTTGGTTTGTGGTTTTTTCACAGCCAGGGTCTGGTGTATTACACTGAAGTGAAAGCAGCAAAACTGCACGTAATACATCAATAATACAGAACAAGTTGAGACTGGTCATGAAGACCTTTTGTGGAAGAGCTAATCCAACCACTGGTGCCATGGAGTGGTTAGAGGAGGCTGAGGACTATGACTACCACCAGGAGATTGCCAGGTATGATGGAAAAAGGTGCTTGTTCCCCTAAAGCCACCAAAAAAGAGCAAACTCAGCTTGTTTTCATGTCAGTTTTGGGGTTTATCTTTGTAGAAGTTTTAAGGGCATGAGTTGATCAGACTGTAGGATAACCTAAATGTTAGTGAACGTGCCTGGTGTTGTACAGGGCAGAACTGTCAGTGTAAAATTTTGTGAACTATTCTCCAAATAAATTCCTTCTAAACTTTTTAAAATGTTTTCTGAGGTGCTGATCCTGATACTGACAATGACTGAGTTGTGGCAAAATGCATTGACTAAATTTCTTTTAAATCCCAGTGCAATAAATAATTGCCAGTTGTCTGTTACTCTACTAACTTTTTAAGGGTAGGTGGGAAGATTAGATTTTGGGGTATTTTTAAGTAGTGCAACCCGTGAAGAAATGGGGACCAAAGAAATTTAAATCTCTGTATTGGTCTGTATGACTCTGCATCTGTCCCAGCTGTTACTTTGCAGTTTGTCCATAGGTCTGTGTCTTGGATCATTGCTGAGGGGAGGGTATGTGCCAGCAATTAATTAATTCATTTATATGTCGATGGCCAGATCATTGAAATGACATTATTCCTCAGATTTGGTGAACAGTTCAGATGCTCAAAGAGCACGTCAGCTGTTTGGGCATTTATGGGCCATGGGGACCAGTTGCCTTAGTAAGAGGAAACAAGGGAGGCTCTCTGAGATCCTGCAGTTTGTGCTTTACAATATGGAATATTTTGACTGGAATTTTGTTGTTGTAGGTCACGCTATGCAGATATGCTTCATGATAAAGACAGAGTAAGTACAGAGGCCAAACCCTTCTGAATGGTAAGAAAATGGCCATTTCCTTTCTCTTGAATAACTGCCACTGCATGATTATATAGGTTTCTCTGAAAGATTAAATGATCACATTTTTGTACCCTTTAAGATACCAGAGCTGCTCTTAGATCAACAGATGCCTTCTTACATCTGACTTTTGTGTTCTGTTGTGTACTGAAGAACATGTTTACATTCAATAGCTGATTTTGCTGTTCTGTGTTTGACATTTTTGACAGAGCTCCTTAGGTGAAATTTCAGGGGCTGTAAAAGTGACTTTACTTACACTCCTGTAAAAATTCTCTTTATTCTTCTATGGTATTTTTACTATGTTTGCAGGCATGTTGAAGGCTGGAGTGAATAATTTAAATGTTCTGCTCTAGCCATTTAGTCAGTCGTTCCATCAATAACCTCTTGAAAGACTTCTTTGGTTCCTCCACAATGAGTCTTGAATTTATATTGAATTAAGACACATCAGTGGAATCAGGCATTTAATAAGCTGTGTAAAGACAGCAAGTTGTGTCTGAGTAATTAAAACAACTCTAGTGGAATTCTGTATATGGAGAGTGTTAACTAGAATTGTTCAGAAAGGGATCCAGCAGACCTTCCAAATGTGTTATGTTCAAAGGTAGTGTAATCTTTGGAAAGACTTGATAAATCATTTGGAAAGGAATGTCTTAACAATAGCTTATTAGAAAGGAAATATGGGCATACATTTCAGTGTGTATCCTGTAGCTGACAGGGGACACCATTTGGTTTTCTCCTGTTTTGATGCTGGTGTGCTTGTAGCCCCATTTAATGGTATGTAACCAAACCCCACTATTTACACATGTTGCTTCTCATGTATGAACATTTTTCAGCAGATGAAGAGAGGAATCTAAATCCAAGACACTGTAGCTCCTGTACTGTCAGAGTCAGTTTATGATTATTTGAATGCTGCTGCAGGGGAAAATTTTTTTATTATTTGCTCCAGAAAATGTATCACATTTGGAAATTATGCATGTGGTCTGAATAGCTGACTGATCAATGACAGTGTGAACTTGGTGATAGAAGTTGATGTGCTTTAAATGGACTGATCCCACCAGATACACTTGCTTTTGCTGAAGATGGCTTTGGTGTGACTGTAAGGCATAAAGAATGTCTCCAGGCCTTTTTCTGCTTATAAAGTTGTGGTTGGAGAATTCAAGACTTCTGCACAAAAATGGAAAGTGTAAATGGATTAAAGGTTTTTCTTCTCCCCAGAATGTGAAGTACTACCAAGGTATCCGTGCTGCAGTGAGCAGGGTGAAGGAGAGAGGTGACAAAGCAATAGTTCTGGACATAGGCACGGGCACAGGACTCCTGGCCATGATGGCAGCTTCAGCTGGGGCAGATTTCTGCTATGCAGTCGAGGTGAGCATCTGGTAGGGGCTGCACATGTGCTGCATGTGTGTTCAGAGCTGCCTTTGCAGGCTTCAGTGCAGTTCTGGCTGCACAATCAGTGGACTGCATGCATTTGTTATTTTCTGTGGTGGCTTCTGAAGAGCAAACTCGAGCCTTTCATGTGTCAAAACCACCTAGGTCTTGCAAGAACATAGTTGAAAAGGTATAGTATATTTTTCATTTTTAGGACAGTTTCTGTAAATGTACAGATTGAAATTTCTGAGTCAAGTTTTCTGGTATTTCATTGTCTCTACTTTTTATCAAAAGTCAAGTGTAATATAGAGCTTCAACCGTGTTTTTGAAAAATGTCAGTATTTTCTAACCATATTGCTGATCTTTAGAAGTTTTAACTCTTGGAGATGGATTCTCAGACCACTTAATCATAACATGAACCACGTTGTAATAAGGAGGCCATTTCATGAACGGACTTTTCCATCTCTCTGGGATGAGATAGAACATCTCCTTTTTTATTGGCACTTAAGAAACATCCTGATGGTCATTAACAGCCAATACTCATATTAAGGATAACGACAGGAACATTTTGGCCAGTTTAGGGTTTTTTTGATGCATTTGAGGAAACAAAGAGAAGATCTACTTGTCTGTAGGGTCTAGTTGAAAGAGTACTGTGGGATTTCTACCCAAGTAGACATCTATGTTGGTTTTTTAATTTAAAATTTTATCTGATGATCATTTTTCAGGACGGTCCTCTTTCATGTAGACACACAGGAAGCCATCAGAGAGGTTTGTGCTGGTTTCCAGAGTGGCCACAAGTGTCTTAGTAAAGTCATGTGACTGGATGGAACACTGAAAATTTTTGAGTTTAAAAACTGGATATGAACATTAAACCCTTTCAACATATTCTTGGTCATTTTGTTATTTTTGCTGTGAAGGAAACAAAAATTCTTTTCACATTTATGCTGTTAATAAAAGCAGATTTTTGGCATACTTCAGTGACTGTTTCAGTGCTGATTGTTTTGAGTTCATTTATTTATTTAGATATTATCTTGGGCACATGTAAGTCTCTTGTGGCTTCTCTTGATGGATATACATATTTTTCCAAAGAAATAAATAAGTTTGCTTAATGTGAATGCTAAAATACTCTTAATGTGTGTTCTTGTCTTTCAAAAGTTCAGTTGGAACAGCTTTGGGAGACAGCTGATACTCAGTTGGTAACAGTGACATTGGAGCTCTATGAATTTTTCAGGCAAGGCTCGCTGTCTTGTTTCATGGACTTCAGACATGGGAGAAGATACAGAAGTTGTTCATTTGTTTCAGAACTAAATATGTTGCATTTTGTGCCGGTGTCCTTCCACTTTGGAAAGCTGATGTGATCTACCGTTTTGCTACACTCTTGCCATTCACAGGTTTTCAGGCCCATGGCTAACGCTGCTGTGAAGATAGTGGAGAAAAATGGTTTTTCTGACAAGATCAAGGTAATCAACAAGCACTCCACTGAAGTCACAGTTGGCCCAGGTGAGAAAAATAGGCTAGGCTTAAAAAAACTGGCAAGTGGCTGAACACCATGAAGGAGGATGTCTTATTCTCCATGTGTCTGCAATCAAAACTCAGGCAGGGTCTGCAGCACAGGTGTTTTGAGGAGTGGCTGAGGGGCCTGGGGCTGTTGTTCAGCCTGGAGCAAAGGAGGCAGAGGGGACACCTCATGGCTCTGCAGCTGTCTGAGAGGAGGCTGTAATCAGGGGTTGAGTTCTTCTCCCACATAACAAGTGACAGGACAAAGGATGTGACCTCAGGTTGTGCCAGGCATGTTTAGATTGGATAGTAGGAAAAAATGTTTTACGGAAAGGGTTGTAAAGCATGGAGCAGAGTGTCCAGGGAAGGGCTGGAGTCACCATCCCTGGAAGTGTTTGAACAACGTGGATGTGGCACTTGGGGACAGGCTGGAATTGTGAACGTGGTGGCGGTGCTGGGTTGATGGTTGGACTTGGTCTTTTCCAACCTCAACTGTTCTGTTACTCTAGAAAGTAATATTAGAAACTTACTTCAAAAGGAAGTGTTCTAGTGATATTTCAGTAGTCATTTGTATTTCATAGTAGACTTCTAAAGGAAAATAATTTGCAATCTTCAGCAGATTCTTTAACAGGAATAAGTTTTTTAATTACTTGTGTTCTTAGGATAGCATTTTCTTGAAAGACTTATATAAAGGCTCAACATTACAATATTAATTTGTATCTTTTAGATGGAGATATGGAATGTCGTGCAAACATCCTGGTCACAGAATTGTTTGATACAGAGCTGATAGGAGAAGGAGCTTTACCAACATATGAGCACGCACACAAATACCTTGTACAGGTAAGAAAATAGAAAATGATGGTGTGTCACATCTATCTCTAGGGAAATCCTTCTGTCTTTTTTTTGGACTAAGATAGAGATTATACTTAGGCTTCTGCATCCCTTGGTAAATACACCATCAGCTGTGTGTTTCTTATTCAATGAATAATTTACTAGGCTCATTCCTGGAATAAAGCTACTTGAGTTCATATTGTAAATCACAGGCTCTGAAATCACACCTAGATGCTTTGTGTTGAAACCAACAACTTGCTGGTTAACAGATGCCTTTTGGTTATGATTTGAAGCTCTCCTTAATAACAGCCTTGTTCCAAGCTGTTTTAGAAAAATTAAATCCTTGTAAATTTGATGGGCTTCACCTTCTGAGCATTGCTTTGGTTTTGGTAGGTTTTGTTTCCTGTCATGCTCTTACTACTCCATATGCTTTTTGCCTGTGGAAATATTTTAAATACTGTTATCTAGTATCCTTCATGGACATATAATCTATAGGTGTAAGTTTAGGACTTCCTCTTTTACCTTTTCTAATACTATCCTTTAATAAAATGTGGATGGCAAAACTTTATTTAGGTTTCTAATTTTAGTTTCACCTTTCTGATGTTACAGAAGTCTCCAAAATAACTTGTGTTTAAGATTTCAAAGCTCCCAGTCCAACTTTTCTTTAAATGGTTTTGCATTTCAATTGGTTTAATTCTCATTCATGTTAATAAATCTAACCCATTGAGTGTATTTACCCTTTGTTTTGAACACTCAGGAAGGATGTGAGGCAGTGCCTCACAGGGCAACAGTGTATGTCCAGTTGGTGGAATCCAAAAGAATGTGGGCCTGGAACAAACTGTTTCCCATTCATGTTGAAGCAGAGGATGGTGAAAAAATTATTGTTCCCCCTTCAGAAATGGAGAATTGTCCAGGTGTTCCTTCTGTTTGTGATATCCAACTGAACCAGGTGCCCTCAAGTGACTTCACTGCCCTTAGTGATGTGGTGACAATGTTCAGGTAAGGGAGACGTTGCTTTGGTCAAGACAAACTTGTCCTGTTATGCCTTTCCTAGAAGTTGTGTGTTAGCCTAGGAAGCTGGTGAGAATTTCTGAAGAATGCTGAACTGTATCTTTTTACAATTCTTATGCCTCTCTGCAGTGTGGATTTCAGTAAGCCAGTACAGAGTGCTTCAACCTCCTATAGAGTGCAGCTGGAGCCTGTTAGATCTGGGAAGGCACAAATTGTCCTTTCCTGGTGGGACATTGGCATGGACCCCTCTGGGATGATAAACTGCACAATGGCTCCCTACTGGGTAAACCCCACTTCTGCTTTGCAGGTAAACCACTGAGCCTTCAGATAGCACTGTCATGGCTGTGAGCAGCTATCCTGAGGAAACGCCTTACTGGGTGTCTTACTTTGTTTGTGTACTCTCCACTGACTGTGACTGGTTCCTAAGGGTGTGTGTCTGTCCCTTTGCAGTGGAGGGATCACTGGATGCAGTGTGTGTACTTCCTGCTCTTTGTTTGCTCTCTATTGACTGTGACTGGTTCCTAAGGGTGTGTGTCTGTCCCTTTGCAGTGGAGGGATCACTGGATGCAGTGTGTGTACTTCCTGCCACGGGAGGAGCAGGTGCTGCAGGGGGAGCAGGTGCTGCTGACTGCCCGTCGGGATGAGTACTGCCTGTGGTACTCCCTGCAGAGAGCCAGGTAATGATACTGCCTGTGGTACTCCCTGCAGAGAGCCAGGTAATGATACTGCCTGTGGTACTCCCTGCAGAGAGCCAGGTAACAGCTCTGGGGGGGAAAGGGCTGCTGTTCACTCCAGGCTTGAGCACCTGCTGCTCTTAGAGCATGTTTTTGTAGAAGAGCAAGAGAAGAACCTAAAGACTAGAAAATTATGCAGAGCTGCTTCATGGGCTATGTACAGGTGCAAAATACACATTATGCATAAAAACGTAGTTGGACTGTGACAGAGAAACAAAAACACTCCTGGTTGATTCCTGGAAATCCTAAAATACAGCTCAGCTGAGCTGGCATGTAGGTAAAGAAGTGAAATAATAATTCTGTCTCCATTTTCTGTTTTCTTAGCACTGTGTTTTTGAGATTGCTACCTTTTTCTCGGGTTAAAAGGAGCTTAATCACGTTGGTTGTGATGGCAGTAGCAGCTAACATGTTTAAAAATCAGTGCTAGCTATAAAATGTCTGAATTTCCTATGCCTTTTTTACTTAGGAATGCAAACGAGTACCTTTTTTCTAAAAGAACAAAACCTAAAAACCTAGCCATCACAGTTAGTGGGTGGGTTTCTTGGTTGTGAAGGTGAAAATTGGTTCTTTTTGGCCTCTCTTTGTTTGGAAATGCAAAGTTACAAAAATGTCATTGAAGAACTAGTAACTTTGAAAAAGTAACAGCAGAGTCCCTATGGATTAGTGTGCACTGTGGCCCAAACGCACAAGTGTAGCTGTTTGCTGTCTCTGGTGCCGTAGTTAACACTTCATTGACGTCTCTTACAGAGCAGAGGAGGCTGAAGCAGCCGGTGGTGTGGAGAGCCCTGTGTGCAGGTGTCACGCTCACCTGCTGTGGAACAGGCCTCGCTTTGGGCAGCTGAACGACCAGGCCCGGACACGCCAGTACATCAGGGCACTGAGGACAGTGAGTGCCTGTTCCTGCAGGTTTTTTCAGCTTCTGTGATGGATGCACGTGTTGTTTTATTTGCAGAAATTATTTATGGAGTTTGTTTCTTCCCTGCAAAGGACTTTGCTCACCAAGTATATTTTTTTTTCCATCAGCGGATCTAGGTCGTATTTTTGTCATGAAAACTTCAGTGTTACATTTTTAAATTGTAAGCAACCATTTCTGCATAGGAACTTGTAGCATCTCTGGTTTTTTTGTTAAAAGTAGTATTGGTAGTTGAATAAAGATACCCAATACATTTTTGTGCAAACTTTTTCACACCTAAGCCAAGGGGACTACATGAGCATTTTTTACCCTTATTTTACATGGAAATGTATAAAGTGGGGAAAACTTTTTCATCTGGAATAGGAATAACAATGACTGTTTATTTTCTGTAGGTTCTGAACACAGATAGTGTTTGCCTTTGTATCAGTGATGGCAGTCTGCTGCCTGTGCTGGCTCACTGTCTTGGAGCAAAGCAGGTACAATACTTCCTCCTGTTTTCAAATTTTTACATTTTAGCTTGGTATTTTTCTCTGTATAGTTCATTTTCAGCTCATTATTACACTGAGTCTGCGTGTAAATGAGAGCTGAGAGCTGCCTGGCTGTCTCACTTATGTGTCTGTGCCTTACTTGGTGTATCCTGTCATGGGGCTCTTCAACCTAAGATCTCTTGCAGTTGGACTGAATATCTGGGAATGTGTAATGTAATATAATCCTGAGGAGTGTAGCGTATTGCCTAGCTTTTCACCAATTATGAACAAAACTTCATTTTTTTTCTTACTGCAAAGGCCTCTGAGCACTTTCCATCTGATCCAGTCAGGTGGTTAAACACTGTTAAACACTGCTCACAGGGAGTGAGCACCGCTGGAGCTTGATTTGGCACACTGGCAATATGCTTGCATTTGTTCAGGAGTAAATGTGTGCCTAGAGCAAATGTGCATCTCAAAAAAGGAAAATAAAATATTTGCATTTTGTTTGTGGTTTTTTTCTTGTATGGCTGTGAAAACAGCATTATTTAGCCTGTAGTTATTGGGGGTGTTTAGTTGTTAAAAAGGTTTGTGGCAGTGGGCTGTGGAATAGATGCATGGTTCTTGTGAACTGTGCTCACTAGGGCATCAAAGTGTTCCTTCATTGTTTAGTTAACATATTCTTTTAATTAAAAGCTATAAAGCTAGTTTCACTAATTGTTGTGTGTTTTCATTAGGTGTTCACAGTAGAAAACTCTGGTGTGTCCTGTTCTGTCATGGAGAAAGTGAGTATTCCATTTTCTGTTAAAGCAGTAAATGGTGTTACTGAGGCCAGAGCTGATGCCTTTGTTTGTTGTTCTTGCATCAATTGTTTAGAAGTTCAGTCGGTTTAATGAATGTGTTTGAGGATGCTGTTTGCTCTTAGGAGACACAGGCAGTGGCTCTTCACTGCAAGTGCTGTTCCAGCTGCTGCCCTGGGGAAGGGCACAAAAGGCTCTGCCAGTGAAGTGGAGGCTGTTCAGGAGAGGCAGCTGGTGTCTGAGAAGTGAATGGAAACAGCTTGCTGGAGTCATCCTTGGCTGTGGCTCTTTTAGTTGGCACTGGGTATTTGAAAGAGGTCTGGCTCAGCCCGTGGCTCAGGAGTACAAAACAGGAACAGCAGGCACGTGAGGACCCAAACCTGGTCTCAGGCAGAAGCCAAATATGCACTGTATTCATAGCTGAAGTGATTCTTACCTTTCTTGACTGTTGTTCCTATATGTTTCAAAGCACAAATGAAAGAAAGTGAGACAATTTCGGTGTTACCTGCCTTTTTATATACTTGTGTGAAAGAATATGGAGGGCACGTGCTTTAGTTCACTGGGTGTGACACGTTGGCTCTAAGTGTGTGCATCCTTCAAGAGCAGGATGCACAGCAGATCTCATCAACCTGATAAGATATGGTAGGCAGTTTTTTAAAAATATTTTTTTGGCTATTGGGGTTTTTTTATAATTTATTTTCAATAAAATGATTATTTTGGTATGTATTTGAGTCTCAGCTGTGATTTTTGCTAAAGACAGCATGCTACTTTTTGGTTTTAGCTTTTGAAAGCAAATCATCTTGAAGATAAAATTAAAATAATAGAAGCACGTCCTGAGTTGCTGAAGCCTTCTCATTTTGAAGATAAAAAGGTATGTTACAGTTGTCCAATATACTGAATTTCAGGGGGGTGGTAGCGAGCAGAAGGTAAAAATTGTTTTTGCTTTTCTGCTGTGCCATTGTAACCACACTGAATGCCATTATATCCTGCTTCTGCAAAATGCAGTGAGTAGATGGTTCAGATCATGTGCCACTAAAACTAAAGGAGACTGAAGACTGTGGGAGGATTGTTGCTTTGTTTTTGACAGGATGTGACTTTCCCTTGCTGCATAATCTGCACCGGTTGTTCAGGCAGTTTAACTGGTTTAACTGTGTATGTGCTGCAAGGCTGGAGCTCTTTGGTGAGCCCCTCAAGAAGATGGCAATCTCTTTGAAAGTACTAACATCATTAAATTAAAAAATTCAAAAGTACTGTGACTCATTACAGAGCCTTCCAACATAAAAATATTTTCTCTCAAACTTTGTTGCAGGAAAATTCATTTTAAGATGTGCTGACTAAACCCACAGAACTATGTCTGGTGTGCCCTATGTGCAGTGTACAGTAATTAAATCTTTATGGACAGTAGCAGTTTTGATCTAGATGATTTCACTCCTTGTGTTGTGTTGGTAGCTGTTGGAAGATTGAGACAGCCTGTGTTACTGAGTTGTTCTTATAATGCTTTTGTCTTCTCCTTTCTTTGCCAGATTTCTGTTCTTGTGGGAGAGCCATTTTTCAGTACCAGTTTGCTGCCATGGCATAACCTGTATTTCTGGTATGCCAGGACAGCTGTGAGCAGGCACCTCAGCAACAATGTCTCTGTCCTACCTCAGTCTGCTGCTTTGCACATGATGATCGTGGAGTTCCAGGTGAGCTTGTTCAGAATTATCCATGTGATATTTACACAAATCCACTGAGATAAGTCCTCTTCTAGAACTTCTTACTGACAAGTGTATTGCATTTTAATACTGTCCAATGTGTACTTACCACCTCAGAAAAGAATATTTGATATCTTGGAGGTGAGTTGTGCTATTTCAGCCATTTCTTGTCAGCAAATTAACTCAAGTAATTTTGCCATTAAATGGAAGGGCTGAATGTTTTAAAATATTTCTTTAGATTAGAAATTACTGAAGTATGTGACAGTAGTGGTTATTTATAAAATTAGATATTCTGCTACATACCAGTTTTTCAAATGGTGCTTGATAAGACTGGAGGTGGGATTCCTAATTGCATGTTCTTTTTTTTTTTAACCTCTTTGAGGCTGTGCACAGTTCTGAATTTGAGCTCATCTTAAAAATAATTTGAAAAGTCATCTTTCAGAAATTGTACAAAGCTATAAACTTTTTTTTTTCAGCCATTAAACTCCTTAACTGAAGATTGTGAAATGTTTACCTACAATGATAATGGAAATTAAATACGTTCTTCCATCATTAATATGCAAAGACCAGTAGCTTAAGTGAGGGACTCTGTAGTCTGAATATAGTAAATAATGTACATATCTGTAAATAAAAAAAGGCCTATAATCTAATGAATTTTCACATAAACATAACCTCCAGTTTATCTGTTAAAAATGCAAGGTGTTTAATACTAATCAAGAGTAATCAGATTGAAATAAACAGTTAATTTCAATTCCATGATTTCTTATCTAGAGGACTTTGCTCCTCTAGAACTCAAAGCATTTTGGAAGGAAGTCAGCATTATTGTGTTCATGTTCTGGATGAGGAAGCTGAAGCCTGCAGAGTGATGACTGAAGATTATTCAGCAATCTAATAGCAGAATGTAAAGTAACATTCGTGTCACCTGAGCCTGAGTTTCACCCTTTCGTGAGGGTTGTGTTCAAAGCTGATTCCACATAGCTCTTTTGGTAGAACATTTAACTTGTATTTCATTCCATTAAGCTGTTCCCAAAGCTATTGCTTTAATTTTACGTTTTCTTCTTTGTTCAGTGGTGACTCTAGACACAAAGACTAAAACCTGTGAGGTTTTAAAAATAACCTCTGCATTCACCAGATTTTGGTCGGACAGAGTGAGCAGATGTTGTAAGGTGTCTTGCAGAACTGGTTCTGTAGGCTGTTCTGTCTTTTCAGAATAGATATGTCATCATGGTTAAGCAATTAGCAAAAGCTAGATCCTGGAGAAAGAATTTGATGGAATTCCTTTAGCTATGAACTTGTTTTGTCCACAGTTGCATTTAGGGAGCAGGGTGCTCTGTCAGGGATACCATGCAGAGTCCTCTAGTTCATGCTGTATTCAGACACAAGTATAACAGGATTTATTGAGATGTACAGAAGTCCTGCTGCCAGCATATAAAGCAGGAACATTTGAGCTTAGGTGCAAGAATGACCAGGTAATTAAATGTATTTATCCATGGCCAGTGAATGTTTGTGTTCTATTGAGAGACCATTAATGTGGTCTAAGAAAAGGTAAAAGTTGAGCTGAGTTGCTACAGTCAATGAGAGGCAGAGTATGAAGTGCCTAAAATGATTTCACTCCTCTTTGAAGTGCTGGAGGGAAATGTTAGCCTGGCAGGCTGTGAGATGTTCAGTGCAACTGGGAGCACTTACCTGTGCTGGGCAGTGAAAATGCAGGGGCTGTAAGGGTTTTATCCTGGCAAATCCATACATGCTCTAAAGTAAATGATGCATAGAGGTTGTAAGAAATGTGACAGATTCTTTAGAGGAGTTTAAAACAGTGGCTAAAGAATTAACTGCCTTAAAAAATGTTTTCCAGAATTACTCTGTCTTCTAATTCTTGCAGTAGTTGTAATGGTTTAGGAATGTATAGATAGGAAAGAGTCTTTATCTGGCTTGCTATCAAATGTCTGCTCTACAGCTAAAATTATGTTAAGATTTCCTGTTTCCATTAATAAAGCCAAACAAAATCCTGGGTTTTTTTATAGGACTTATGGAGAATCCGGAGTCCATGTGGCATCTGTGAAGGCTTTGATGTCCAGACTATGGATGATATGATTAAAGTAAGAAGACTGAAAGTAGTTTCAGCACAAGTCTCAGCAAAACAAAAACTCACCTTGGCTTAATAAAGCATTTTGAGACTGTTGGAAAACCTGTATGTTATGCAGAACACCATTGTTTTAGTCTTTCAGAACTCTGGTGACTGTTTAGTTCTTGTAAAACAGTACCTTTCATGGTGTGGGGTTTGGGGTTAGCAGTTACTTCTTGTTTGTCAAGTTCTTCAGTGCTTTGCTTTGTTTGGAAAATAATTCTGTTCATTCAAAAGGAAAATACTGTTCTCAAAATGGGAGTTGTTTATAGATGAATCCTGCTGCCCTCACTTGGAGGTACTTTTGAAAGAGAAAAAGGCTTATTGACTGCTGAGAACTAGATAGGAAGGCTGAGATTTCTTTGTATCTGTTTCTGGAGCTGGACTGTCAATATCCATATTTGAGTGAGCTGTTTAGATTACCTTGACAGTCATTGTGGAGGAGTACAGGCAGTTGTAGAGTAGAATTCGTCTGGAGGGAGAAGAAACTTTAAATGCATTTTCTTTTGAAAGTGCCTGGTTTTGTGTCAGTGCTGAGGGCCATTGTCACAGCACTTGGTTTCATGCATGTAGGACATTTTTTCCCTTGTGCCTAAGAAGTGCAGTCCTGTCCTCTTGCAGCTTTATTGCTTAAATACTCTGGGTTAAGGACATGTAATTAACTTGAAAACATGGACTATTTGCCTTTTGATTGTCTTCAGATAATTTTATTCCTTTCTTTCTTCAGGATTCTCTGAATTTTAGGGAATCCAAGGAAGCAGAACCTCACCCTCTGTGGGAATATCCTTGCAAGTCACTGTCTGACCCCCAGGAAGTTCTGGCATTTGACTTCAGAGAGCCTGTGCCCCAGCAGTGCCTCAGCACAGAGGGCTCTGTGGATCTTCTGCGGTCAGTTTGCTCATTGCAATAAAGATTCCTATCAGCATCCATGGCTTTACCTCCTGTTCAGGTTCTTGGGGTACTACAGTTAATGGTGGGAACATACTCGACAGTTTTTAATAATGTGACCCAAAGTTGTGGAAGTTATTCTGACACAAATTTCCTGTGGCTATTCTCAATAGGCTATAACAATAATATTAGATATTATTAGATTGGATAATATGCCTGTATTTCAAAACCAACATTTTTCTAGCTGTTACTGTGATTTAAAATTTAAATAGATTAATATATGATGTAGAGAAAGTAAAACATTGTCTGGATGTTTTCAGTCTTTCTTTGTTCCCTGTTGCTGAGTTCTTGCAGAAAAAGCTCCTATTTAGCTTTTCAGATTATTGTGTTTAATAAATTACTGTTTTTAATAGCTTTAAATTATTGTGTTAATAGATGTTAAAATGTGTGTTATTCTTCCTTCTAACTATAATTCTGGCAATTTTGATGTTTGTAATGTCTTCTGAGATATTTTTCACTATAATGTAACTACAAATTGTCCCTAATTCTGTTCAAGCTTAAAATGCTGCTTAAGAATTAAAAATCAGGGGAAAGGTTCTTTGGGGTTCTTTTTTTGCTGTCTAGATCTTGGATAACTCAAACACTGCTGTAATTGTATGTTTCTCATTGTGAAGCAAAATTCAAGGTTTCACAAAATCCAGAACCACCTGTGTGGGGTCTCTGCCTTTGCAGCAGTTTTTATTTGTAGGCAGCACACTGGCAGCACCTCTGCTTCTTGAAGTGGCATGGTATGTGTGGTAAACATTTCCTCAAAATTCAGAAACCATAGAAACTGGGGTCTCTAAAGGAAGTGCTGTCTGAACATGCAGTGTAACTTATGCCACGTTGTTCAGGGCTGGTTAAATGACTGTGCTGCTGAGCAGATGTAGTTATGACATATTCTCCTCTTCCTTGCCTTTTTTAGATTTCATATCTGCAAATATTTTAAAAGTTGCTGCCCAATTACCAAATCACTCAGCTGTTCAACTTTTTTTCAAGGAAAGAAGTTCTCCCTGGTTTTCCAGCTCTCCCTGAACCACTAGTGCAGTGTCTCTGTGAAGCTGTCAGTGCTGTAGGAAGTAACAGGTTTTATCTTCCACCTCTCCCCAGGAAAGGAAAGAGCCATGGAGCAGTTCTGTGGATGGAATATCATCTTGCTGCAGATATCTCCATAAGTACAGGACTGATGCAAATTCCAAATGAAAAGGTACATCTTCAGTCTAGATTATTACATCAAAGTCTGTAGGATTACAGTGCTGAACAATAGGTCCCTGTTAGCCATGCCTGGGTTATGTAGTGCTCTGTGTTACACTGCTTGAATACTACATAGACAGAACTAGTAGAAATATCTGTTCATGTTTTTGCAGGGAGCAGGAGATGTACCTTAAAATGGGAGAATCTGAATTGGATCAAAATGCTCCACAGTTTGGAATCAATTCAGAGTTTAAATATGATGCTAGCTCAAAGTAGAGTTTATTACAAATACCATTTCTCAGTTTAACAAAAGCAAAAACTGGAAGGGGAAGGAGTATTTTTGGTATTCTATCTAAATATTCTTTGACCAAAATGCATTTTTTCCTCTGCCTTCTCTGTGCAGAGCAGCACATGGTACTCAAGTGGGGTGTTCCTAGGGTGGGGTGGATGGCAGTGGAAGAGATGATGCTGATCCTTGTGGGCCCAGCTGGGAACAAGGGCTCTTACTGCATTGTTACTGTGTGGTAATAATTGGTAGAGTTTTAACTGCTTCCACTTTGAACTGTCTCCTGTAGGGAACCTGTGCCTGGAATCCCCACTGCAAGCAAGCTGTGTATTTCTTCAGTCCTGTTCTTGAGTCAGAGGCTCTCTCAGACCCTACTGCTGTCACCTATGCCATAAGTTTCGACACAAAGACAGGGGAGATTGCCATGGATTTTAAGCTATTATAAAATACTTTACTTTTGCTCATATTCCTAAATTATAATAAACTTTTTTTTTCATACAGCAGAGGGATTTATTTATTGTGCCCATAGAACAAACTGTTCTGAAACATGCTTTTAACATTTTTGGGTTTGTTTTCAAAATATGTAGTTGGTGAGGTAGAGGAACCATTTCTTAGGGACCAGGTGTTCTTGTCAGGGTTTATATACATATATACACATTCTTGTAATCATTGTTCCAGTGTTTTGCATAATGCCATGGAACTGAAAGGCTTGCTGCTTATTGCTTGGCATAGCACTAGATGAGGACACAGCCTTTCACTGACAGTAGAGAAAAGTGAGTTACACACATCTAGTTCAAGCTTTGCTCTTGTCACTGTAAAAAGGGAAATAATCTTCAGAGTGCTCAAAAAGAAATCCCAAGTCAAGCCACATATGTGTGTTAGTGCAGTTACTGGGGAGCAGGAAGCAGCTGAGCTGCTCACAGACTTGGCCAAGCTGTGGCTCCTATTGACCTGAAATGGTCAGTGAATGAAGGGGGACACACTGACAGTCTGCTGAAGTCTTTAGATGCTGCATTTCTGGAGAGTCATTTCCCAAACAGTGACCAAAATCTCTAAAGCTGTAACCAGAAATCAGAAAACGTACATATTAGAGTTAATTGGAAGTGACAAACTGATGGTAGTCTGAGAAACAAAAGAAGAAGAGTTGTAGTCTAAAAAACCTGCAAATCTTTTGGAGATATGACATATGCATTATATGATTAAAAATGTGGCCTTATACTCATTCCATCAGAGGCCTAAATAATATCTGCCACTTCAGCCAAGTTGTAGGCTGCTCTGAATGCCATGTCCTCACCTGAGGTTTTCTTAGCTGCATTGCAAATCATGTTGGCAGAAATTGTATTGTTGAAATTAATTCTGCTTTAGATGAACAATCAACTGATGTATCTGTTTTGTATGTGTGACCTATTAAGGGAAATGGAAAATCAATGTACCGCCTGTCCTGAATTGTGTCAGCCAGCCCCAGGGATAACTGCTTACCAAAGCTACTCCTGTTTCCTCTGAGCAGCAGCTTTAGCAAAGTGACAGAAATACCATAAAGAAGCCATGAGGGAGCACAGCCCACTCTGCTCTGCTTTCCTGGTCACCATGATACATCATTCTTGTGAGTAGGAATTTTTTCTTTTCCTAATGGTGTGGTTATATTTATAGACCCACAGGCCATCTGAAATATTCCAAAATTTTTCAGAATCATTTTCCTGACAAACAGAAACCCTGCAGCAACTGCTGAGATATGTGAATTTCACTTTTCAAAACTCTACTTTTAAGATGCTTAACTCCAGTCTGTCATTTCTTACAGACTTTGCTGGAGTGTAGAGGTTACTGTTCATTAGACATTTGTTTTAATTTTTATACACTGTGCCTAGCCCACAGAAAGTATGGTGGCACAAGTCTGTTATGTGTTGGGTATGTAAGCAGTGCAGTTGTAAAGGAAACAATATTATGGCCAAGCCTTTAAAGTAGTAAAGGCTTGGCCCTTTTTTTTTCAAAGGCACAGGCACAGTTGTGCAAGCCTGAAGAAAGCTTGCATTATACAACTGCTCTTCTGCCTGTGTGCTCTGACACAGAAAGCACGAGCTGCTGTTCCCCTTGTGCAGGAGGAATAGCTTCTGACAGTGCAGTTAACTGCACAGGTGATTCTGGATCCAACAGAACAGGACAGTGTTTCAAAGGGAACACAGAACTAATAGAAAGCAATATATTAGAATTTATAGTTTTGAAAAAAATAAAGTAAGAACAAAACCACAACAAAACTTAGAGTATTTCATTGGGTAGTATTAGCTTCCTCAAAGATAACTGTGTATGTATGTGCCTGAATTGTACTTCCTGAGAAAAAATAAAATATAAATTTGCTGCAGTGCCAAAGGGAAGTAATGCACATTGATGGGAATTTGTATTTTGTTGTCAGTATTATGTATGTTGAAGTTATGTGGGCACTGCAGTAGATACCAGGCATGGTGACTGAGAGGCATCCCTGTTAAAGCTCTTGGTGTTGTGAGGCTTGGCACTAGTGGGGCTCTCAGAGGTGGGTGAGTGCAGGCCAAGGGCACAGGCCAGATGTAGCAGCAGCACGTCTGCTGAGCTGTGGCAGTTCACAGGATCTGCTCTATGTGCATATGAGGAAAAACATAAATTTCAGTATACCTGGAGCAGAAATTGTATTGCTGCTATCAAAAAAAAAAAAAGCTGGAAAGATTGAATGCTGAGCATATTTTAGCACCTCTGGTTTCCTTAGAGGACCAAAATCTGATGGATGTGCTCATGAAGCCTTGTGCATGTTTTAATTCACTGTGAGTGTTATCAGCATTGCTGATGCTGGCTGGTTAGGCTTGTGCATTTAGACAGGCACTGGAACTGCCTTCAGGATTTGGTTTAGTGTGCTGGAAGCTGCTGTGTTGAGGCAAACCCTTACCACATGTGTGAGTAATTAGGACTATTTATTGTATGTATCAGTCTTCCTTGACTTCTGTGAATTCCTCAGATTGGACTGAAAAACTTAACGTGATTTGTAAATTGTGTGGAAAACAGCTGCTTGCAGGGGGATCCTGGCCATTTCTTATGCATGTGTGCAAAAACAGAATAAAAGACTACTTCTATCTCTGTCCTCTGCCACAGGGCATCTTACTGTAAGAACACACTTGGGGGAGGAAAGCCTCTTAATCAAAAAAATCCCATCTACCCAGTGGCAGCATCCAGCTCCCATTTGTTCCCAGAGCTGACAGAAGCATTGCAATGATGTGCTGAGCTGCAGGAGCTTCTGGCTGTGGGCATCTTAATAAGCAGAGCAAGAATCCTATTTTCTCTTGGAAGGAACTTATTCTGTGCTGCCACCACAGACAATTTTTTTTCTAAATGACAACAGCTTTGATCCTGACTAGGCCTGCAGGCACAGCTGCACGTTCTAATAGAAACAGGATCCCCTGCCACCACTGAACTTCATAGTACTGCAGTTCATATATTGCAATGGAACTTGGCAGCTTTTTTAATGTGGCACAAGAGATGTTTGCACTAAAGACACAGGTTTTAGTCAGGTATTAAAAATAATAATAAACTACCAAGTGTTGCCATTCACATTTAGCTTCTCAGTTTCAGTTTTGCTGCAAAAGTAACTGTATAGCTTTGAATTGCAATGAAATGTTACTAATATGTAGTGGTTACCACAGCACAGATCCACAAGAGGGTGCTGAGAACCCACTTCTAATTTTCTAGCATATTATAAGTAAGGAAAATGCACAGACTTGCAATGCAGCTCTCTCATCTTATGTGCAAATAAATGCCTCTGATGTTACGAGACACACTCTATGTACATGGATGGAAATGGAAAACTAGTTCAAAAAGTGAAACTCCCAATAAAACTAATCCAGACTTGCACCTACTGCTAAGGCAGGCAGGCAACAGAATTCTGTGTCCCCTGCTGAATACACAGAATGAATGGTACTCTTAGGACAGTGAAGTTGTCGTGGTCCTGATGAAGGACAAGTCTTGCATTCTAAAGGGTGTTCTCTAAGTCATGGCAGCTGCAAGATTTGCTCCTTTATTTGCAGAACTGGTACCTTTGTCTGAAGGCTGGGCAATTCAAGGACTGAGATCCTGGAGCTTGCTTTTCTCCTTCATTAGTCCCTTTGAAACTGCTCTGTGTGGGCTTCCTGCATTTAACAAGATAGAGGATGCAGTTCAGGACTAATTCATTTAGTCACTCGTCTTTTGTATTCTGTTTGTAGTTACAGCTGGTTGTTAGGAGGGGAAGAGACTATTACAGCTTCCTAGGGTTGGATTTTTCCAGTGGTGATTGTGAGCTGAATGCAGTGGATGCTTGTGTTGTCATTCTACCTTATTGACTCTGATGGCATTGCTAAATGTTAATTTGGTTTTGTACTTAATCATTGTAATACTTCACATTTCCAAGCATTTAATGCAGATTAGTGATTAAGATGCTTCTCCGAGAGGTATTTGTTGTCATCTCCATTTTTCAGAAAAGAAAAAAACTGAGGGTGCTTTTTGTGGTGTTCAAGTGTTTCATCTGCCCCAGGCTCACTATAAGATTAGGGCCTCAGAGCTAAAAATTACTTGCTCAAGGCCATGCAGAATAGACTAATCCCCTGACTCCCTAGCTCTGCTTTAATCATTTGTTTTCTTAGCACAGTGTGATTTCAAATGCAGCCTTAGGAGCTTTGACCGAGATACAGCAGATAAAGGCTCAGAGGCAGTAAATCCTTGGATACCTCAGTAATTAAAACCATGTGGTTTTTGGCACATATGTACAATATATTTATATATTATATATAAATTGTATTTTTAATATAGTTATATATATTTACAAAGCTATAGCGCTTTGATTTTGTTTTCAAAGCCTGTCATGAAGATGACCCACTTTTTTTTCCCCTCAGCAGGATTCTGTCTAAGATTTGAGAGCCCTGAAGATGCCTCTTTTGTGGACAAGGGCACTACTGAAAGAGTGAGAGCTGATGATGTTGCTGGTGCAAAGGGAAAGCCCTGCACTGCTGCTCTGACGGGCTCCTGGCAGGGCTGTGGGCACAGCCCCGGGGCAGCTCAGCCTTGAGTCACACAGCTGGCCACGGAACCTCTGGTGCTTCCTCAGGGTTTTGCTCAGGTGCAGCTGCACAACCTCCTGCAGCAACTCCTTTGCTGAGGGTCTGTCTCTCACTCCAGTCCTTGTGCACAGCCTCTGCTCTGTCCTGCCTTGCCCATCGCTCCCATCTCCAGGTGCAGTGTTAGGACTCGTGCTCTGGGAGGAACAGTGGGTGCTGCAGTCACTGAGTGGAGTCCTGCTTCTCCAGGGGGATGGTGGATCCTGCTGCATCTGTCTCACAGAACGTGGCTGCTTGCTTCATGTTAGGGTATCTAAGAAACCAGTGACTCACCCCCTGGCAATCAGCAAACAAATCAAGCTGCGATGAATGGGGTGGGAGGGAAGGAGGGACAGACAGCCTTCACTGCAGCACTTGAAAATGTCATATTTCTTCTCGACTGCGGTGTTTCTAGGAATGGTTGCAGTGACTGTACAGCAGGTCTACATGTATAATCTCCTGCCTGCCTCACAGGCAGCAGCAAAGTCGTTTATACCACAGGGCTAATGATATAGGGTGACATACCCTCATGTTGGTGGAAAGGGCTGGGAGCACCTCCAGGGTTTGGAATAAACCAGCTGCTCTGCAGCCTCCCAGTGCAGCAGGAGAGGGACAGGCGGCCCTTCCAGGGATGCCAGCGAGTCTCTCAGCCCTTGTGCCCCTTTCCTTGGGGATTCCTGTGGGGCTGAGCCTCAGGGCAGGACAGACACGTTCTCTTTACCCCTGCCCTGCCGTGCCTGCATGTCCCAACACACCGGGCAGTGTCCCACCTGAGGGAAGGTGTGTTGGCACCTGCTGCCAGCCCCGGGGGGCAGAGGGGCAGAGGGGCTGGGGGAGAGGCTAGCTGTGTTCTGCAAGCAGTGGTGGGGCCTGAGAAACAAGAGTTCATGTGGAGTGTGGGTGTGACTCCCCACTGAGGGGACCAGGCACACACACAGGCAGTGAACCGGTGTGCAAAGCAAACTCACCCAGACGTTTTGCTGGCTGTTGTGCCACACGTGTGTCCTGTCCTTACACTGGGACATTGTGCCATGGATCAAGGCAGTGGCTTTAGTATTGACTGCTTGTGTTCCTCCTGTTTTCAGGCAACAGTGGTACCTCCTGAGCTGATGCTGTTTGAGTTCCCCATAATACTTCTTGCCTGTTTCCTTTGAGTGGAGCCTTAATCCTGTGGCCGTTGAATGGGAAGCTTACAGAGAAGAAACAGTGTTTTGAACACGCTCAGCCTCTTTCTTCAGAGGTACAAACCATGGCTACCTTTGTTTGTCTGTTTTAGCATCACTCAGCTCCTGCTGAGATTGTGCTTTTAGGTCTAGTTGCTTTTAGTTTAGATCTAGTTGCTTTTAGGTCTAATTTGCTGTAAACTATTTTTTCCTAGATATGTCTTTACAAATAACAAAACAAGTCTAAAGAGCTGTTTTTCAAGTCATGCTGACTGACACAAAGGCAACCATATGTCATAGGTTTCTGTGGGTTCTGCACCCCTTTAAAGATACCTTTCCATGTTATGTATGGCATTTGAATCTTTGCTTTCCATGCTTGAGTAAGAAGGGAGAGGGCAATGTAGGGTAGAAGGAAAATATTAGTTGCAGAGCTCAGCTGTGGGTTAAATTTAGGGTTAAATCTGTTGTAATCTGTACATGCAAGACTAAAAACTCAGGAGAAGGGTTCATGATGTTAAAGTCTGTTCATCCCTGGTTTGTTTTAAAACATTTTTCTCCCCACCCCAATTTTAATAACAATCACAGCAGCTTTATCATACCTTATGATACAGCCTCAGCTGCCTACATGTACAGCTGTCTCTGGTGGTGTGTTCATTTCTGAGTGGTTAAAATGGTCTTTAGACTCCAAATGGAGTAGTTTCATTCTGGTAATGGAATTTAAGTGATGGTCCCTTAGGTGACCCTGCTGACATTACTTCTTACTGAGCCTTGGCCTTGCCTTAAGGCTTCTCCTTCATGCATTAAATAAATTTCTTTTTAGATTTCAGGTGTTTAGATCCTCACCACACCCTGGCCCTTCTCTTTTTGTGGAATACTGACTAGTGTTCAACAAAACCTGACAGGTCTCTCTGTGTTGCACAGTGCACTGAATGAAATACAAACTCAACTTCTATAGTAAAGGTTACATTTTCACCTTTTCCTGCATTATCTTGGCATGTACCTTGCAACATACATCAAAAAAGTTTTCAAAAAGGGAGGAAGGAAGAGAAATATCTAGGAAAGACTGTGTCTTCATATTTCAATACAGAACAGGCTTTATGTCTGTTGTAGCAGAGTGCTCTGCTCCACAGGTTTCATGGGTGTGTCCTAACAAAACAGTTAATTTTGGGGTGTTTTCTTTTGTGCTTGTCACAACCAGGAAGCTCCTCAAGGCCAGTGTCTCACTGAGTTGGTGTGCTGTGCCTGTGCTGCCAGGCTGGGGGGCTGTTTCTTGCTTATGGATTACAGGAACAGGTACAGGAATAAGCAGCATTTCCCTGATCACCTGAGCAGTTCTTCCTGGCCCAGGGGCGTGTCCTGTGGAGCTGCTGGGGCTCATGGTGGGAGTGCCAATGTCCAGGTGTGGTTGGCAGCGTGTTCCTTGTTCCAGTGGCATCATCAGTGGCCCCAGCAGTTCTGTGCTGTGCTGTGGCCCTTGTAGGTGCTCTCTGTCCAGTTCTCTCTCTTTGAAGGCTCCCTCGATGGCAGAACGTGGCCCCATTGAGAGTGGGGCCATTTCTGTCTCTGTGCCAGTCAGCCAGGCCTTGGAGCTGCCTGGATAAAGAAAGGTATTTTCTCACAGGAGATCATCTGTTCAGATTGAAGCAGTGCCTTACATCCACTGCCAGCTTCCTGCTGCTTTCTTGGATGCTGCTTGCAGGGAGAATATTCCACTTGTGTCTCTGCCTCCAGCTGGGAACTAGATACACTGCTCCATTGTTTACCTCCCCTAGAAGCTCTCTTTTTGAGACAGTCTGTGTTTGCATTCCCTGGGCTGGCTGGGCAACAACTAATCAAATAATTATATTTAAAATAAGCTTTAACAAAAAAAGCATCTCTAAAAATAAAGGGAAGGTGTAGTCATGCTTCTCACCAACAAAACTAGTCAGCAATGTACATTCTGTGGAATGTTTCCCAAATAATTGAGGGCCATTTAATCTTAATATTCTTAACTTTTTTTGTTGCATTTTTTTTAAATCTTATTAGATGTTCTCCTATCTTTATAGTATGTCTGCAGATCAAGTATCTCCTCCTTCCATTCCTTTTCTTTCCATCCCCCCTGCCCCCTATGCTTCAAATAGTCTTCTTGCACAGAGCCTTGACAAGCAGCTATTCATACTTGAAGAGTTTCTGCTAGTAAGCTCCAGTTCTGTCCATGTTTAAAACATGAATAGAAATAGCAGTGTTTTTTTCAAGATTAAACCGAAGGTCCCAAACAGATAATTTTGCTTGTACTTATAAATAACGTTACCCAGAAGCAGAAGAAATGCTGTACTTTTCCCCTGTGCTCAAACCAAAGATGGGACCAAGTGGGACCTTCTGGGTTCTGTATCGTCCCTTCCTGTAGTTGGGCTCATGCATGGAAACCCTTTAAAAATACATTCAGCTCTGTTTTAAAAGCATTGGGGTTTCAGAGAGGAATTTTTGTTTGTTTGTTTTGCATTCCATTGTGGTCATTTGGAAGCTGGTTTTGAACTTGTCTGGTCTTGTGGTCAGAAACTTTCTTCTAATTGTCAGCCCAGGAATCCAGGCCTGGACAAGGACCTCTTGTACTGGTCAGGAGCCATTGCCCAGCACTTGACCAGACTCAGCATTTCTTTCAGCCAGTGTATAATAAATGCTCCATTTACAGCTTCTAATTTGCTCTGCCAGTGGAGCACAGAGCTGCAGGGTGGTGAGGCTGAGGTCTCTGCACTGAGGTGGGAGGACACTCAAGGTCAGCTGTGGGCAAAGGGGATCTCACCAGGGTAAGCACCGTTAGTTCAACAGTGACACAGTTTCAGGAACACAGAGCTAATAATTAGTGAAGGAGCTACAGTCCTTCTTATGTGCTTACTGTGGCATACAGTTTGGTTACAAGTCTGAGTGTGTTGTATATAAATATCTTCTCTGCAAATGTGGAAAAGAGAAATCAGATGACACCAAGGAGTAACAGAAAAAAGAGTTTAAAATACTTTTTTGGTAACAGTCTTATTTTGGGGCTGAGATAATGGACCGGGCTTTGTGCTGAGAGTTAGTTTGTCTTGTGTGATGCCCTTTCACTAGGAATACATGTAGCAAAGTGCTTGGCACCCTGTGAGGGGGGATCCTTCCAGTGTGGCCCTGGGGTGAGGCAGGGTCAGGTTTGCAGCCTGCAGAGGCTCTGGGAATGCTCTGCATGGAGCTGCACAGCTCCAGAACTGCCAGGGTGTCTGGGCAGGGTGTTGGGCAGTGGAGGGCGAGTTAAAAGGACTCGTTTCTTTCCCCCTTGATTTTCTGCAGGTTCACCAGAACACCTGTAGCACAGTGAGACTGTACTTGACCCACCCACTTGATCACCCTGGGATTTGGAGTCAGATTTCTGTTGGTGACATCAGGCTCCACATCATAAAACCAGAGAAAGTGACTGCACAGAATCATTTGAGCCTTGAAATTTTATTACCTTGTTTGCATCAACCAGTTATTCCTTTCAGCACCAATAGAAGACAAAAACCCCTCCATATTGTTTAAAATACCTTGTTTTTATCAGGTCTGCGATTGTGGTTTTCTTGCAGATAAAGAAACCAATGAAAATATTTAAATTTTTCTCTTTTTTCGTACGTTTTTAACAAAATGTTGGAAGGTGTGTGCTTACCATATAAAAACATTAGGTTCCAGAAGGATACAATACCGAAAAATCATTGAAATAAAAAAGGTTATTCTTATTATAGGATTTCTAAATCTTAGCAATATTACAAGTCTTTAAAAGCATTGAGATTATATTGAAAATAAGATGGCATGGAAAAGTGAGACCCTCAGTAACAATTTGACCCTCGTAATGGATGATAAAATTGGGAGCTTTTCAAAGTGCTTGAATTGTATTTCTCTTCTCATCCTGTAGTGCCAGGAGGAGGCCAAACCACTTCATTTCTGAGCTGATGATATGTGCTGACACTGCTGTGCTGCTCTGGGATCCAGGGCAGCTCAGGGACCAAACTGGGCACGGTCGTGCTCCGGCTGGAGCACCAGACAGAGGCCTTGGAAAAGAAGATTCTGCAGTGGAATTGTATGTTCCCTAAATCTGACTGTCTAACCCAACAAGTAGGACTGCAGGTCTAGCCAGCCTGACTGAGAGTGCTTCTGGGCTAAAACTGTGTCACAATCCTGGCACAAGGCAGGTGAACTCATTCTCCAGCCAGCAGGACAGAGACTGGCGGGCTCTGGGAGCCAGGCTGGGGCAGTGGGGCTGGGGCAGTGGGGCTGGGGGCTTTGACAGCTCCCACTGAGCAGCCAGGCTGGGCTGGGACAGACCCCCTGGGCTGGAACAAACGGGCTGGGCTGGGACAGACCCCCTGGGCACCGCTGGAATTGGTTAAAGGCCTTTGCCCACAGCACAAAGCTGGGTGTTCCCACCCTGGTGCTCAGTGGCTGGAGTGGAGCCGGTGGATCCATCGGACAGACAGGGCAGGGATTGACTGGAGCTGGATGTGCCTGAGAGGCCACGTTCTCGAGGGAGTGTTCTGGAGTGACCTAAAGTTACTGACTTTGTCAGGACCTGACACCCTGAACACTTCTGGAAGTGCTTACTTTTTGACTGTCCTCATTTGTGTCTTTTGCTCACTTATTCTAGAAGTGATGTTGTAAAATGCAAATTGAAATGAGAAACAGGAGATGTTATATACCCTTTATAAAAAGATGACCCTTGCTCTGCAGTGTCCCTGGTGCATTACTAAACCAAGAACAGCGTTATCTCCCACTTCTAGAAGATGCCTGAAATCCCAGCACAAAGTGAGGTAAGCATAGGACAGGAAGTTTAAGTCCAATTCTTATAAATAACATTCTACTAATAAATTGGGTCATGCTATCCATAAGTAAAGAGAATTGACATATAAACAAACTCTCCAGGGTTTGATCTCCTGGGCATGTTCTCACACCCAGCCCTGCCCTGCCTTTGTTGTTCTTTTCAGTGCAAATATTCTATGATACAGTATCTGCCTAAGGCTGGTGATGACTGATGTCCTGTACAGGCACTGCCTGAGTGACTCTGTGGGGCTGAGGGAACTCTGGTGGTTGCAGTGGTGGAGACAAAACTCATTTTTCTCCCGGAGGTCCCCCCTGGAAGGGAAAGCCTGTTCATTCCAGCTCCCCTGGACAGACACTCCCTGACCCCTGCAAACATGGAAAGGCACAGGAGCACTGTGAGAAACCAAGGAGCATCTGTCCAGTGGTACCACAGTGCTGCACCTCCAGCATCACTCTGGCAAAGTTACATTCCCTAAGACAGTGAATTAGAAAGAACTACCGCGACTGGTTAAACGTGTGTGTATTGTGTAAGAGAACATTTCACAACTAGGCTGTTCTTGAGCACTGAGAAACTAGGAAACATCAAAATCTAAAACAGTTTACTTCAAATTTGAAAAAAACATTTCTCAATATATCTCAATAAGTTGACAAAAGTGTCTCATTTTTAGTCAGCACAAAGCCACAGAACGACTTTTAAGGTAATTTAGACCACGTCAGTTTTACTGTAAATAATGTAACGTTGTTTGGCAGTAGTTTTATGTTTGTATCCCACACAGTGTCAAATTCAGCTCCTGCAACTGATACTTGGTGAAGTTGATATCAAATTGTAATTTACATTGTTAGGAAAACTATTAAAAATAGTGTAGTTAGTTTTACTACTGAGAAATAGCTGCTGGACAGCACACACATTGCTACTGATACTGTTTGGATTTTTTAAAAAAGGTTAATAAAATACAAGTAAGGTAGAAAATAGGATTAAAAAGCATTGGTTTGGGTACAAGTTTTTCTGAACTGGGTGGAGCAATAAGAAACCAGAAAAACACATTGCACATATGTGCACCCTCTGTATAAAGACAAACATACAAAGTGGGAAACTGGTGGTGCACGGGGTAGTACACTCAAGTCTCTGATGCTGTAAACTTGAATTCCTAATTTTATCAAAAAGGGGAACTGAGTCTGGTTCCATTTTTGAGTCCCCATGGGTTACTTGCAGATTACCCCTGGTTTGGCACAGCACACTTTTAAGAGGCAGCTTCTGCTCAAGGGACCTTGGGACTGGAAAATGAGGCATAAAATGTGTCAAGACCAGGTGCAGTGGGAGAGTGGGAGCAGTGGCCCTACTGCCTACTTGGAATTAGCCAATACTGTTAGTCCTGCACTCTCATGACTATTAAGAGTTTCTCTATTTGCAAAATCAGGTTGATTTAAGTAAAAGCTCTGTTGTTTACCATAGCTAACTAAGCCAGTATCAGAGACTGTGCAGACTGAGATTTCTAATTTAAATCTATTCAGATTTAGCTCAAGCTGATTCCTAGCAGCTGTAAACTAAACCAAAACAAGAGCATCTTCAGGAGTTTGTGGTCAGCATAACTAAAACAGGTTACTTAATGGAGTAAGTCAAATATTGGATTAACTCTTCTTAACACAGGGAATGTAATGTAAGTAATGTAAGAGGAAATAACACTAAAATTGAACACGACATAGGCAGAAGAAACTAAGTAATGGTTAGAACACAGGGGGTTTCATTGTTCTCTCGAAACATAAACCCTCTGAAATTAAATCCTCCCAAAAAATGCCAACTCTCATTATGGACCTGATTCTCAGTTTTTCATTCTTTTTGTTAAGGTTACAGAGGCTGGGTCGGTCAGGCCATGGGGAGATGGCAGAGGGGAGCCCCACATTTGAGCTGTAGTGGAAAGAACATGTAAGTCAGATGGCAAGACCCCTCTTCAAGTCTGTGATGCATAACAAAGGGAGAGTTGTGTCTCAGACACAGGAACAGCCTCTGCTCCTGGGAGGCAGTTCCCTAAGGCCAAGAGTCCCAGCTCTGCTCTCTAGCTGGCCATGCTGCACTTCCCCTTCAAGTGTACTGATTCCTTTAGAGAATTGTTAGGTTATTCTGCCTTATCAATCATACACAGTTCTACAGTTTTTTCTCCCCAAATGTCACTTATGTTTATGTTTACTCTATCTAGCATGCATTTTACAATCCATTTCCCACTTACCCTTTCTAGCTAAGGCAGAATGTTGGCTCTGGTGTTACCAATGGTACTACAGGAATCTATTCACTCTACTGTAACATACATATCCCATATCATAATTCAGAACTGTCCCACACATGGCAAAGAAAGAAAAGACATTACAGGGAAACTATGTTTCTTCTTAAGGGAGTAAGTTGCATTTAGAAAGCTGAAGGCCTGATTCTGGAGTCATCATTCAGACAAAACACTTCATAATTTCAGTGGTAACACAGCTGGAAGAAGGGTAGAACTGTGTTCTTAAAGTCTTAATTCCAAATCTTTTGTGTGTCCGTAACTCAGACAGGAAGGTGTTGGTCTGCAAATTGAAGAGAGCTGTTGTTTGGTGTTCGGTCTATCTGTAGTGCCAGAAGGTTTGCAGTCCCAGCGTGGCTCTGGTTGTGGGTGGCTCTGAGCCCCCCCTCTGGGTGCCAGGGCTGTGTGTGGAGCTCATGCAGGGCGGGCCATGCGGCTGCTGCGAGCGCGACAGGAGACAAAGCTTCAGCTTCTCAGACAAGGAAATGTTGCAAAAACCATCGAGCAGCACTAACTCACAGACTAATTACAAACTAAATTGTGCTATATATTAGTATAAAAACATGTTTGAGTAAGAATGGCACTGGTTCAGAAGGAATTAGGACTTCCATCTTGGTTCTGTTCGGTCCACAGTGAAAGTGTTGTAGTACAGGCCTGCCTTGTTGCCTGAGCAACTTGTGACAGTGGCTTTTGGCCACAACCCCTTCCATTTCTTCCCTTTTTAAATCCACATTGTTGGTACATTCTGGGAGTAGCCCAGGTCAGGTCGGGTCACCTTTCCTAACGTGGCACCAGGATAGTTCGCTCTTATCCTCTGATATTTTTAAAATATCATTAATGTTTCCCTCTTCTGATTCTCAAAGCTGGTCAGTTTTAAGGATCATCTTCTCCTGTAGACACCATGAGACGCATTGCTACTGGTAGGTGGTCTGTCAAGCCTGCTAACTGGGTAATAAAGCTGAACTCTTCCACTTCCTGCAAAGGAAAACAAAAGTAAGAAAAGGAATTGAAAAACCCGTCTGTTCCAGCACACACCAGGTTTTGAACTACCTCAGAGCATTAGCAGAGGTGTGGGCCCAGTCTGGCTTGGCTGGGCTCAGGATAAACTGTGCCACACAGACAGTCAGTGTGGTGCAGCTGCTGAGGTGAACCACTGACAGGTACTGGGATGAAATCTAGTTTACTTTTTCTTGCCACTGACAGTAACAGCTTGTTGTTCCCGACAGATTTATCCAAGCAGGTAGGGAGGCCCTCAGCTGGGAGGAGGGGCTGGCTCTACCATCCTGGGCAGGGCATGCAGCTAAAAAGGAAACCTGTCTGCATTGGATTGAGGTGTTCAACTTGGGTGGGAATGTAATGCAACCAGGAATCCTGCTCCTTCTGTCTCTGAATTCCAGCCCTTGTTCTGGCATCATTTCATGTTTGTAAGATGGATTTACCATAGAGGTGTGCCATGGGCATTTGTGCCTCTGAAACAGGAAGCCTTAAAAGAATTTCCCTGCCAAGCTACTCTCACAGAGCCCGTGCAGAGAGAGCCCAGACCGAGGTATCCTGCACTAAGCTATGCTGAACTGCTCTGCTGCCTGCTCTTCTACAGCAGCTGCAGTGCTAAATAGGTGTGAATGAGCTTCTCATTTCCATCATGGAATTCTGTACAATTCTGGCAAGGTCCTACTCTAGGAAGCAGACTGCACCCTGCAAGTTCTCCTTCTGGGCAGCTCGTGTCAGCTCCTGCCTGTGCATCACAGAGTGGGAACTTGGGTGGGTTCTCACAGGCACAAAAGAACATCCACACCCTTGAAAAGATTAAAAAATATTCAGACTGCAGGCACAGGAAAAGCATCCAGCAAAACACTCAGTCTGGCAGAATTTTAAGGGGTGAAAGTGAGGTTGGTTAGTTGGTGAGTTTGGAAGAGCAGCACATCTACCAGTGTTGCTGCTGGAATCCTTGAACTCAGCTTAACTTGGTTTGTAGTAGGTTTCCAATCAGGACTTGCATGCAAAAGTGGAAAATAGCAAAGCAGCAGGTCCTCCTTGGAGTATGATTTGAATCCAAGCAGAACAGGCCACAGTGCCATTCAGACAAGTTCATTGTGTGAGTTACAGCTCTTTTGGACAAGTCAGGAACTCACCACTTTCCACTCCAGGTAGAGACCTTCTTCTGTGTACAGCATATAGTCAATCCTCCTCCCATTTCCCTTCAGTGATGCCTTCCTCCCTTTTTGACTGGAACTGTGGTTCTTGCTGGTGGGATAGACTAAGTATCCTTTTCTTCCTTCTTCACTTTCCAGCACCCTATTTCATTAAAAAAACAAAACCAAGCACTTTAAATGGTTTGCTCATTCTGTCCACCTGTGCATTACCCTGGATTCTCTCCAAATCCCCAGTAAGGGTAATCCCAGTTCAAAAGGACTGTTAAACCTGTAAAGCACATCTTCTTCCAAATGTTTTCCAATATGAGGCTGTCCTAACTGCTGACAGGGCTCTCAGAGCCTCATGGCAGGCTTGGCATCACTGGTGCTGTGCTGGTGGAGCCAGGAGCAGGGCCCTTGCCTGCCTGCCACCAGCAGGGTAGGGCAGCCCAGAGCCCCTGCACTCATCTCCAGTGTGGCTGAAAGTGGCAGAGGAAG